AATCTAGTAAATATAATTTTGGTTTTTTAAAATATTTTATTTATTATTTTTCTTTTATGTGTATGAGGGTGTTGTCTGCTTGTACATAAGTGCACCTGTGTCATGCAATGTCCACAGAGGTGAGAAGAAGACATCCAATCCCCTGGAACTGGGGTTAGGGCCAGTTGTTTGCCACCATGTGGATGCTGGAAATTGAACCTGGGTTCTCTGCAAGAGCAGTCAGTGCTCTTAACCACTGAACCATCTCTCCAGGCCCTCTAATTTTGTTTTTAGGAGGAAAAAAAAAGAAATACTTATATAGCTCTAATAAAAGTTCTGTAGGGACATATTCCAACCTGTTAACTTCGGTTATCTCTGATGCCAGAGATTATGAAATTTCATCATTTTCCTTTAAATATTTGTGAATATTTTTCAATTTAATATGATTTGCTATTCAGAGAAAAAATGTTGCTCCCTCCTCAATGGGGAGGGGGTAATGGAACAGCCAGATGAAATGGTAATTTGAAGGAAAACAACTTTGAAAGTATGTTTTTCAGTGTAAGAGAGACTTAGGCTGGTTTTCAGCACTGGGATAAAAGCCAGTTTGGGGAAGAAATGGGGTGCGGGGAATGTGAACTGGCAAGGGTCCAGAACAGGGGCTGGATCAGGGTGCCAGAACAGGGGCCAGGAAGAAGACAGAGGAGAGGACAAAGAGTGAAAACTGGGGCAACTTGTTGAGAAGGAGGGGTGAGAAAGGAACCACAGCCAATGAACGCTGCCTGTTTTTCTGTTGGACTAGGAGGAAAAGACCAGCTGAATTAGGAGGGCTGGTGCTGAGTTAGGGGGGTATAAGAGAGGCATGTGCCTGTCTTAGAGACTGAAATAATGGGATCTGGTCAAGTCCTGGACCCGACCTGGAGTTGGTCTCTAAGGTAGATAGATTGTAATGCATGGTAAAATCTGAAACCATTGACATCAAAGGTTAATGGGGGATACAGGGCCAATGCTAATGCTCTGTCACAATTATCTGACATAGGAACAATCAACGCATTTATGAGTTTCCCTAGCATCGTTCAACTGTCTGGGAAGAGAATATCTGAGAAAAGTCGATGGCTGAGCATATCCAGAATTGGGTTTGGGCATCGTGGGTGTAGGCAAGAGTCAGTGAGTCGGTGGAACCCGAGATGCAGGTAAGTACATCATGAACCCAGCCAACCCCACAGTAAGAACTAGATGGAGAGGGAGACTGGATTTATGAGGATTCCAACCAGAATTGAGAAAGTCAGAATGTGGGTGAAATGACTGGGCATTTTTATCAGCGAAACAAATCTTGGTGTTAAAGATTTTGAAAGAGGAACAGTACTGGGTGGTAACATAGTTCCAGTTTGAGTGGGCAGAACTAGAGTAGAGTTAAAGTTGGGCAAAGTAGAGGAGGTCAAGAAGTGAGGTCAGGATATGAGGTGATCATGTTTGTGAACACTTGAGAGTGTAGGAGTGGGCAAAATCAGGCAAGCAGAAGAGAACACTGGGGCCGGGGAGGGTCCCAGTCAGGCAGAACTAAATGTGCTGTGTAGGCTGGCCTTAGCCATTCAGCATAGCACTGCAACCAGGGAGCTCAGCAGCTGTAGAACGACTGACAGCAGAATACTGTTAAGGTATTGGCAAGTGTAGGGTGACCCCCTCCCCGCAGGTGTCTGTGAGATTTTGGTTCGGTATCTAAATATACCTCTGTTTTATTGTGTGGAGTATTTGTTTTCAGGGCTTTATCACTTAAACTATTAATCCTTAGCACTAGAGATCTAGTTTTTGAATCCCTAGTGATTAATGCTGTGTCTGATGAATGGCCAATATTTAATGAAAAGTTCTCCTGGATGAATGAGAGGGATAGATGGATGGATTGCAAGGATAGATGGGTAAATGGATGGGATGACTAGATGGCTTAAAATAATTAGTAGCTCCATTAATGCCTCCATTTATAAGATTAGAGGAGAAAGTATTTCTACAAAGGCATACTTCCCAGGTGGAGGAAGGGAAGGGCTAAGGGCGATGTTCATTGCTCACTTTCTGAGGATTCAGGTATCATTTGGCTGGCAGGGAGAAGTGAGTTAGTCTGAAGATGTGGACCCACTTTATGTCCTACTTTACATCTCTCCTAAGCATCTGAGGCTCAACTTTAACCAAGAAGAATTAATGACCCCCTCCCCCCCACCTCCACCCCACAGCAGTCCTAGTCTTCCAGGATCCCTCTCCCAGAGCTTTTGTGCCACCTTCCTCAGTCAGTCAAAGGCCCAGCAACATTTGATGAGCCCTTTTTCCTAATCTTCCATGTCTAATCCACCAAGCCCTTCCAGTTTTAGGACCCTTTCCCTTCTTCACTGTTAAAGCTATCACCCAGATCTCAAACAGTGTAACAAACCAGCATTTCAGGGTTCCTTTAATCCCTTCTCCACCTCACAGATAAGATTATCTTTTTGTTTGTTTGTTTGTTTGTTTTGGGACATGGTCTCCCTGTGTAGCCCTGGCTGGCCTGGAACTCTCTAAGTAGACCAGGCTGACCTCAAACTCAGAGATCTTCCTGCCTTTACCTCCTAGGACTGTGTATCACCACACCTGGCTGGGTTATCTTTCTTAAAAAAAATTGATAAATTTGTTTTTTGACAATTTCATACATGTATATGGGTCACTCACCCCATTTTATGCCCCCCCCCTTGTCTTTTCTCACTCACCCTCCTCTCCACAGGTCCCCTTCTCACACTGATGCCCTTTTGTTTTGTTTTGTGACCCACTGATTTTAACTAAACTGTGTGTCCACTTGTTTGGAACTATCCGTGGGAGCCTTGTGGGCTCGATGAATGTTACACAACTGAAGGTGATGGCTGTCCCTCTTCCAGAATCCATCAGTTGCCAATAGTTCAGTAGGGAGGGATAGGATGGGACAATCTTCTTAAAGTTCTGATGGTTTCACTTGCCTGCCTAATCCACTCTAATGATTTACAATGCCAGCTATAGTTGGGTCCCCCACCCTAGCTCCAGGCTTACTTTGCACAGTGCACGCCTTCATTCTGTCTGAGGTTTACCACAGTGGGTGTTGTTCTCACTCTTTGATAGGTGTCATACTGCCCCCACTCCACTCCTCAAAGCTTTTGTAATCCACTTCCTTCCCCATTTTATATGAGTAACCCCTATTCCTCCTGATTTCAGCTCAGACATGAGTTCCTGGGGGACACCATCTGAGATCTCTCTAACAAGGTGAACTCCCTTTACTATATTTGCTCATAGGAATATGGGCTCCACCCATATAGCTAATACTCCAGTTGTGATTATATCTATTTGTTGCCTGCATGATTACTTCCATTATGATGGTCTCCCTCATCATATTCGGCTCTGTGAAAAGTGAGACTCGCCAAGTGTAGTGCTTGGCACATAATAAGTATACCATAAATATTTGTCAGGTGAGTGAATGGAGATACGAAAGAATACCCTTGTGTGTTACTAGCTGAAGTCACAGCAATAAAGTCCTGTTCCTCTGGTCTAGCCACCGGGACTTGGGAATAGTGTGGTTATAGGAAGCTCTCCAAGTCAGTGGCATCCATGATCATTTAACCCAGAATTAAAGCCAAAATGCTGGGTTTTATCCGTGATCATTTAACTAGGCGTTAAAACCAAAATATCAGGTTTTATCCTGATTTTGTTATAGTGTGACTTCTTTGATCTACATTGCAAATTTTACCTGCAGATCAGGTGTTTCCTTCTGCTGATGGGCTCTCCCAAGCTGTGTGCCTCATGTCTTCTCTGTTCTCCTTCCTGCCTGCCTCCTCAGCTGGAAATAACTGAGAGTCCCTGCCAAAGGTAAGGGAGGCCACTGAAGAGGAGAGAAAACAGGGCCAGAGGCTCTGTGGGAGGGTCTAGAGGGAAGGAGCACATGGCTTGGATTCCAGTTCTGTGGGACTGCCTGGGTGTTCAGACACTACTGCTGAATTCTATTTCTCCAGGCAAACCAGCTTTGAAAAACAAGCTTGCTTGCAGGACAAGAAGCTTGTCCCAATCAGATTCAAATGGTATAACCTAGAAACCTTGATTGACATGTTTGCCCTTCTCTTGTTTAATTAGAATGGCATATATTCCAACTGACCTCCTGGCCCAGGGGTCTCTGTGCAGTATAGAATTTCAAGCCTCTGTTCTTTATTCTTTCTACATTTTGCTTAAATATTTCATGTGAAATGAGGTGGAGTAATAAGCTTTTTATTGTTGTTGTTTTGTTTTTTGGTGTTTTTGAGACAGGGTCTCCCAGTAGCCCCAGCTGGCCTGGAACTCACTGTGTAGACCAGACTGGACTTGATCTCACAGATATCTATCTGTCTGCCCCTGCCTCCCAAGTGCTGGACTTCAAGGTGTATGCCACCACACCTGGCTGAGTAGTAAATTTTCAAGCATAAGTGTTTTTGCAGAGGAAGCCAGAATGTTGTCTTCTGTCTTTCTGATTCTTGGAACCCAAACTCTCCTCAGTAGTTAGGGGGGCCAGTTCAGTCACCAAAGGGGTATCCCTCATCTTATTCCACAAACTTACACTGTGCCGTTTGCAATGATCTCTCCCTATGTTTATTTCTCCAACTCCGGGAGTGACTTTTAGCAACCTTAGAGTGGTCTCATGGACACTTCTTGAAGGAATTAAGGTGGCTTAACGTAGAACATGAGGTCTGCCTTCCCCTCACACTTTCCAATTTGAATGAAAACCTTCCATTAGGAGTGTTTACAGTGAAGGTATCTATACCTGATTTAACAATGATAAATTACACCCAAACCGCCCACTTCCGAATAGGGGAAAACAAATCAGGAGGCTGCAATTGTGTAACTCACAAACCTCTCCTGGACCGGGGCCCATCTCTGTGGTTTGGCAACGCAACCAACACATCCTTCTCATCTGGAAAAAAAAAAAAAGGCCAACAAAGAAAAAAAGTACCTGAAGAATAAAGGTAATGATTAATCTATCAGGTACAAAAAGTATCATTTTAAGGACTTGGGGTTAGAACTCACTAATTCAAACAAATAGCAGCAAGCAGCCACTGTTGGCTGTAGCAGATGATTAAATCACAGCTCCTTAATTGGGACAGCATTTGCACAGTCAGGGTATCTCGCCAGTCATCTCCAGGAATCCGTGAGGAGTTGTCTAAGTGAGCGTTTTCTTGTGTTAGTGAAGGCAAGGACCAGAGCAAGCAAGGGTTTGGCAGAAGCCCCAAGATGCCGTTGGAGAAAGGACAGGCCAAGAAGAGCCTCAAGCAGAGACTGGTCCTGAAGAGCAGCCTAGCCAAGGAGACACTCTCGGAGTTCCTGGGCACGTTCATAATGATTGTGAGTATTTCCTAATTTCCTGAGTCCTGGTCTAGCTGTCTTCCTGCCTGCCAAGCTGGTGGAGTAGTGTTCTGTTTTGGTTTCTTTTCCTTAGTTATCAGATCTATCTCTTCCGAAAAGGAGCAGGTTATTACTAGGTTTGTTTGTCCAGACCAGGAGAATTTCATTTACTCCTGACATTTATCTGACATAGTTGAAGGAGATGGGGAGCGGGCTGCTTTCTTCAGTTCAAGACCTAAAATGGTTCGGTGATGAAAGGGCAAGTTGCTGGAAATTTTTTCTCTTTGAAAAACTGATCTGTGCCCTGCTTGCTTCCTACCAGGTAACTAAGTCACCTGGAATAAAATAAATGGTCAATAAATATGGATAGCATAGAGCAGCCTGCCAGGAGAGGTGTTCCACAATGCTGCTGTTGCCAGATCATTTAACTTAAAACACACAAACAAACAAACAAAAAACCTATTACATTTTTATTTATTTAGAGTGCATGTGAATAGAGACCAGAAGATAGCCTACTGGGGTTGGTTTTCTCCTGCCCTGTGGGTTCCAGGGATCAAACTCAGGTCGCCAAGCTTCTTGGCTAGCAGGCACCTTATCCGCTGAGCCATCTCACCAGCCCCATTTAACATCTAATAAATTAGAAATTGTGCCAGATTGGTTTAATGCCCATGGAGTCCAGCATTGGTTTTGTGTAATTTTCCCCTTTTTACTTAAATTGGTTTAAGTAAATCTCTAAGGATCTTTAAATAGACAGAAGAACTTTGTAGATGTAAACAAGGGATCAAGTCTAAGAATCTCTTCAGGATTCTTCCAGAGATTTTCCCAGCTATTTAAAAATAAATAAATAAATAAGCTGGGCGTGGTGGTGCAAGCTTTAATCACACACTCAGGGTACAAGTAGGTGGATCCCTGAGCCCCAGGCTGTTACTATGTTCTACCAATCCCTGAATCTTGAATTTTTAGCTTCAGTATTTTTAGCTTTATGTATTTCAACTTATTTAAAAAGAAACTCAAAGATTCTCTACTCCGGGTATAATTTTATTCTCTTAAGGTTTAGAGAATTATCCATAAGTTTATTTGCTTTGGGTCATTTAGACAAATAAGTTTAGAATGTGTCTGCGATGTGAAGATTGAGAAAGAAACTTCTTCTGAACCAGGGTAACATGGAAGGTCATATGTTCTCTGATCTCGAAGAAACTTCCTACCTCACTCAAGGATTGGGAAGAGTTATAAGACAATTTTTGACTCCTTACCTTTCCCCGACAGGAGTTCCTGGTAACTCTGACCATAATCACTCTCAGAACGTAGGTCTGGGGAGTTAGAAGAAAAAGAGAAACTAAAAGGCCCCCAAGTTTTCTCTTTCCAGTCACAATTTCCTGGAAAATCACCCTCAGCAAGATGTGGAGACACTTGGGTCATGATATTTGACAATCGGTTACCACCCCTTCCAAATAAAAGGAGTTGTCACCACAGGCTGGTTTCAGCCTATGGTGGCTTGTATAGAAAAACGAAGCAAATCATATGAACGCTTAGCTCAGAAAACCAAAAGGAAGTGAACTAACATCCTTTTTGCAACTGAAAAGTTCAACCTCTCATTTCTTAAGAATCAGCTTAATAATTCAATTCTAGACTGAGAAGGTACAGTTACTTCCAAGCCATTCACTGTTCCCACTATGTGGCTGCCTGCGTGTCTTCCCCCGCTTGATATCCTGATGCCGATCATAGTCCTGCTCCTGCCTCCTTCCCCAAGGCTGGCCACAGGTACTAGAGCTTGTCTTCCCCAGGGCCAGGTCACAGACATTTTAGTCTTCCCCTGCCTTTCTCCCTTCAAGTGGGCCGTAAAAGCATTCCCAGAACTAGGTCATAAGACCCCCATTTCAGAAGGGGTTGTGTGCTCTACCCTGGAGGAAGGGATGCTGCTACAGAGTGGGATCTGAAGAATGTAAATAGACAGGCCTTACTGGCTCCCCACCCAGTGTCTTGTAGTAACCTGGTTTTGGTGCTTGCAGTTAATCCCAAGGCCTTGTAAATGCTAAGCATACATTCTCCCTCTGAGCTCGCCTTTAACCTTGATGATGCTTTGTCCTTCCTTACACGGCCACTCATGCTTTAGTCTTGTCTAAGCTGCCAAGGCTCCATAACTGCTCAAAAGGACAGCTGAACTTGTGGAGGAGGTTCCTGGAGGGTGGGTATGGAAGCGCCCTCCCTCTTCCCATCCCTCACCCTGTTCATGTCTTTATATCCTTCATAATATCCTTTATAATAAATCTGTAAACTCCAGTAAGGATTTCCCCGAGTTCTGTGAGATACACAAGCCAATTAATGGCACCCAAAGGAGGGAGTTGTAGGAACCCCAAATTAGAATTTTTCTGTCAGAAGCATAATTAAAATAACCTGGGGTTTGCGACCTGTATCTGAAGTAGGGGAAGGGCATTCTTACAGCCTGAGCCCTCACCCTGTAGGATCCTGACTGTATGCCCATGTAGACTGTGTTAGAGTTGAGTTGGTGGGTACCTTGTTGTCATGTACTGTAGACTAGACTGTTTGATTGCTAGGAGAAGTCCCAATGCCTTTTGGGGTCACAGTGTTCTTTTGTGTTGACATCTGTGTAGTGTGAGAACAGAGGAGAAACATGATTTGAATCTCCCCCGATCTCCACACACACACCAAGAATTCCAGGTAGAAGCTGGCGATACAATATCTTAATGTTACTGTGTTGGAAAACTGAACTTTGTATCTTCTGGCTAAAGGTAATCCTATCATGAGAGATTAATTCCTATTTACACCACATACTTATTTAGTAAAGTGAACTTGATATAATCTAGAACTCTGATAATCATTTTCAGTTTTGTGGAGGCCTGAAGAGAAGTATAAATAAGAAATTTCTCTACAAGTGTATTTTTATTTTTTTGGTCTTTTTGAGACAGGGTCTCCCTGTAGCCCCAGCTGTCCTAGAACTCACTATGTAGACCAGACCAGGCTGGCCTTGAACTCACAGAGATCCTCCTGCCTCTGCCTCCCAAGTGCTGGGATTAAAGGCATGTGCCACCATGCCTGGCACAAGTGCATTTTTAAAAAACAATAAACCTACTTTCTGTAAGATCCCAAGGCTGCCCCTGTGGAGGGGTCTTATATTCTATCTACTACTTTCCTTTAGCTGCTGCGCTCCCAACAGTTAGCAGTACGAAGGGAGGATGGTGCAATAGGGTTAGTTCCCTAAATTATAGCCTTAAATGCTGTATAGCACCTTCACTAATGACTGAACTCAGACATTTTTCCCCTGTAAACTCAGATACCTTTCCCCTCTAAGCTCAGGGGGCCCTCCCCTCTAAGCTCAACCCTCCCCCAAGCTCAGATACCCTTCCCCTCTAAACTCAGGCATCCTTCTCTAAGATCAGACAGCTTTCCCCTCTAAAGTCTATAAATATAATGAATTTACAAATTTTCTTTTTTTCTGTGGGATGATGTTGGAGCTCCTATTTCAGTGTACCCCACTGTGAATGGTCAATGTTACTTAAAAACATTTCACTTGAAATCCATCTCTCTATCAAACCTGGAAAGTCTTTGTTATCTGAAATACATAGTTTTGCCCAAAGGTTATCCCAGTGAATTGCTCCTGGTCTACTCAAAATATGAGTCTTGCTTTGCTTTTTCTAGTAAAGAGCTTTGTCTAAGAGAAGGGAACACAAAAAGGCGGCTGAGACCATTCAGACTCCACCCCTCAAACTGCTGAGATTAGTCCCCTCTTCAGATCCGGGGGGTCCGATGCTGTTTTTTTAACTTCTGAAAACCTGTTTTTTGAGGAGGCCTCTCAAATTCATTGACACCATGGCTGAGAAAGCCTGTTGGTAGCCCTCAGGAAAAAAAGGTCCTGAAAAACTGTTAGCTGCAGCTAAAAGCAGAGATAACAAAGTCATAAGCCAAAGAACTAGCTCAAATTTGGCCTGTTAGACATCGGAATCCTTAGGCTTTTCATCTTTACTGATGTTAGGAAAAAGGTTTGCAATGTCTCTGCTCTCTCACAGAGAAAAGATTTAAGGGTAGGGAGAATTAGCAAGTTCCCAACATGCAATGAGCTCTTTAGATACAGTTATTTAATCACCAAGACAGCTATATTCATTGCTGTTACAAATTAATAATTACATCAGTAATAATGAATTGCAGCAAACAAATAGCTTCTTTATTACCAAATTCATAGTTAGGGTAGGGATAAGGGCAAAGAGATAAAATAACTGGCTCAAACCTGGGAGGCATTAAATTGGATTTCTTTCTGGTTATAGACCTTATAGTTACAGACCTTTCTAGTTATAGACCTAATCATTGCACTCCAAGGGAGGAGTCCCTTGGGGAATTGTATGGTAAATCAGACTCCTACTTTAGCATTTCCATAGTGGGAAGCCATGAAGCAGCTGGTATATACTTGTGGGCATAAGAATAAAATGGGCTGGGCGAGGTGGCACACACTTTTAATCCAAAGGTGGGGAGGATCTCTGTGAGTTAGAGATTAGCCTGGTCTACATAGCGAGTTCCAGGCCAGCTGAGGCTACAGAGAGACCCTGTCTCAATAATGTAAAAAAGAAGAAGGGG